TACATTTATATCAAAGGTATTACCGATTGGTTTGTTTTGTGGACACAATTAATTCACTAATTTTTAAAAATATATTTCACTTTTCTCTCTCGGCAATACTTATGGGTATATCATATGAGCGTCTCTTACTTTACAAGAGGTGTGACTATTATTATTGTAAATCAGTTCTTCACTAAATCCATAGCCGACAACATATAATAATTTATATATTTATCATTCGTGTTATAGTTTGTGATAACATTGTTACACATCGTATATATTGATATGTATTTAATTTACAAATTTTAATTTGTAAGATATTCTTACACTTAACAGTATTATGTAAATTGTTATTTGTGCTGTTAGTGTTAATTGTCATTAATAAATACAAGTTATAATTCTTTAATATTAATATTAAAACTGATTTAACGTCAACTTATTGTATTATTATTTGTATATAAAGTTTATTTATATTATAATTGACAAAAAGTGATGCCTTTTAAACACATTCATAAGAAGAAACTGGTGGTCGTCGGTATGTACAGTAGGACTGGTCAATATACCGGTGCCTAAAATTATTTGTATTTGATTTGTAATAAATTTTAAGTAAAAATAAAAGTTATAATTTAATTTTTAAAATTTCAATTAAAACAATATTCACAATTCTTCACAGAATTTCACAAAACTTGTGATTTATTTACATTACTGTATATTTTGTGTTATGAATTGTTGTATATATGAATGTCATATACAGTGTATATTCAATGTCTGTGTATATGTTTAAAAATGGTATTATTGTTGACTGATATCTGTTTCCTATCATCAGGTGATGGAGAGGTGGGAAAGACATGTCTTCTCGTGGTTTTCAGTAGAGATAAGTTTCCCGACGATTACATCCCCACTGTTTTTGAAGCCTCGGTCACAGACTTTATTTACAAAAGCAAACCGGTATTGAAAATACAAACTCAAAATCAGTATTTTTTACATTCTGTACACTATATCTCATACTGCATATACATTACTATACATATACTGTACTTTACATGTGTTTTCTCTGAACACAAAATTGATTAAAAACACATAAATAACACATAAATAGATTGACAGTAAAGTATTTTATCAAAAAACATATTTCTTTTATCAAAAAATATATTTTTTCATTTAAAAGTGTTTCAAAAGTATATATTAATTAGCTTTTGATTTATTAATAGTCGGTTTGATTAAAGAGATCGCAGCGAAAAACTTTGTTTTTAATTTTTCATAAACTTTTTTTGAAACAATATTTTAATTTTGATATAATATTACGTCAAACCTAACGGAGAGGACAAATGTTTTTGTCTCTAGTTTTGTATGAATGCATACAATTCATACCGTAATAACTATGCGGTTATTAATTTATACTTATTATACTCTTATATACACGAAATATCGCCGTTTAATGCAAAAAATAAATAATAAAAATAATTTGGCTTTTGATGTGATAATCATTGCGGAGAAGAAAAATCTGAAATACAAATAAAATTGTTGAAAAGCTTTATAAATATTAAGAGTATATAAGAAGTTATTAATGAAAATTTTTGCCCAAAAATATATATTCAATTAGTTTTTGGAGAGAGAGAGAGAGAGAGAGATGTTGAGTATATTAAGAATATTTGTGGTTCAGTACGGCTACTGTTATATTTGGTTCGGTTGTTCCGCTGCTAAAAATTATTAGATTTCCCTTAACTTTGCGATGCTTTCCAATTGCAATTCACTTTTTAAAAAAGCCAACTGTGCTCTGGATTGAGACACTACTGTAGTTATATTATACCAGTAAAGAGAGAGAGAGAGAGAGAGAGAGAGAGAGAGAGAGAGAGAAATTTGAAGCGTCCCTAAAGCAGAATTGTATATAAAATTCAATTTACACTTTCCAATAGAAAGTCCAATAAATGTACGAAAAATAGTGAACAAAATTTTTGTGCCACAGAATTGACTGACTGTTCGTTCGCTTCTCTTCTCTCGCACTCTAATAGAGAGGAGAATATATTTTTGAGGCTTTTATTTATATATAGAAAGCAAATGTTAGAAAAATAAATTGCGTTCAAGTCATCAATAATTGGGTGAAGAATTGAAGTTCATATCACATCACAAATTTGCAGATACGAGAGAGAGAGAGAGAGAGAGAGAAAGAGAGAGAAGAGAAGTCGTTTGGTTTTGAAGTTGAGAAAATTGCCAAAAAGAAAATATTTGATAAAATTTCATTATAAGTATAGGATGTTTGCGACGAGTAATGAGTCACTGCTTTATCACAGATGGATATATTCTTTAAAAATTGCTTCAAAAGTAAATAAATTTTCTCGAGATATATGTATATAAACATCAAATATATAAACCAACGCTAAGAACACATTCATTTGTTTTGTAATTTAAACTAACATTTTATGTATAAAATATTACTTGGTAAGAGGGAGAGAGAGAGAGAGAGAGAGAGAATGTTTTCAATGGAAATACCAGGATTAGATTTCTAAACACAAACTACACACATAGTTTTAATACTCTGCGATATTAAATGTCATTTAGCTATTTGTTTTTATACATGATATACATGGTACATTAAATTGAAACAACATTGATAAAAAGCAACAAAAACCATTAATAAACTTAATCGACATACAGTATATCAAAATATGTGTCAAATTTTTTCCATAAGTAAACACATTACTACTGGCCTCTAAAAAAGTTTCAAGATCAGTCTACAAATTTATTACTAGACTTGTTGTCTGTTTCAAGATTATATAACATACTGTGGTTTAGGGAAAGGCATAAACAACAGGGAATGTAAACAATAAACACATGAGGGTTGGGAGGGAAGGCATGGAAAAAACATAATATATAAAAAGTAAGTGCATGTGTAAACAAAAAATATACAGTTATGTAATATTAATATAGATATCGATGGAGAGGGAGTGAGTCAGTGGGAGAGGGCCAGACATTTGTGATATAACTGTAATTATTAGGTATACCCGAAAATATTTTGGAGGGAAAACTACAGTACATTATATGAATGATAATATTTATTATCATATAAAATATGTATAAATTTATAGCTGTTTAGGCTTAACGGACACACAAAGTATGTATTTCCCCTCACAATTGGACAGTCGTGTCATTCTCCCTCTCATCGTCGCCTCTCTCTCTCTCTCTCTCTCTCTCTCAGGTCCGTATCCTTAATGATCTCTCACTCACTCTCGCATCTCTCGGACACCCGCCTCGCTATAATGTACGCTGACTTTTGTTTTGGTACACTATAGCGAAGGGTCGCCTGTAGTAACGGGATGGGGGTTGTGGTGGTGTGCGAGAGGGGGGAAAGGGATGGTATGCACACATGTATGTATTATTTGCGCAATAAATGCATTGAATATAATGAAAACCGTTTGAATTTTATATTCAATCTCTCAGTCATTGAATTGTGTCAATTCAATGCCAGACATATAGAGAGAGAGAGGCGACGATGAGAGGGAGTGAGTCAGTGGGAGAGGGCCAGACATTTATGATATAACTGTAATTATTAGGTATACCCGAAAATATTTTGGAGGGAAAACTACAGTACATTATATGAATGATAATATTTA